GAAATCCGAGCCGAAGCGCAGCGCGGCCCATCCGCAGCCGCCCGATCGCGCCGCAGGCGCTGGCGACGTCCAGGAGCCCTCCGCCGCGGGCGGCACCCACGCGGAAGACAGGCCCCTCGTCCACTGCGCGATGGAACGCCTCCTGGACGGCGGCGCCCCATTTGACCGCCGCGCCCAACGGCGCTTCGCAGGCCTCGGGCCAGCGCTGGACCCGAGGCTCGCGCGCCTTGGACTGCGGCCTCGAGATGTGAGGCGGCAAGCCGATCACCCTGTCGCCCGCCAGGTTTTTCGGCGACGGGGCGCCGATGGCCAGAAAAAACTGGCGAGGCCAGCGGAGCGCTCGCCAACACTTGAGCCAGACTGCGAATTCATCGCGCGCCGAAGTCGGCAGGCGGCCCCAGTCCACAGTCGCGAACCCGTCGACGCCCATGGCCGCGTTCGGCTTCTGCAATCGCCCCGCCTCCTGCAGCTGAGCTCCAGTCAGCTGGGGCCGCCCCCATGCGCGCGCGGCCCTGAATCTGCTCGAAGAACCCCCCCGCGCCCCGCGCGCTGCCCTGCCGCGGAGCGCCCCAGGCCTTCTCCGCGCGAATCTGCTGCGCGCCCCCCGCGCCCTGTAAGTGCTGGATCGCGGAGGCACCCAGCTCCGAGAAGGCACGCGCCCGCGGCTGCTTCCTGATCGCGCGACGCAAACACGAATCCGACGACTGCGACTCCATCCTCTCTTGAAGCTCCGCGGCAGACTGGTTCGGCGCTCGAGCTTCACTCCGCCCAGGTACGCGCTCGCTCTGCGCGACGCTGGCCTCGAGCTGCTCGTCTGACAAGTTGCGCGAACCCAGCCAAATGTCCACCCGCTCATTCCGAGCGAATGGATCGCCTGGCCTCGCACGCTGCTGCCCTGGATCGGGCTGCCTCCTCGAACGCCCTGAGGCTCGCCGGGGGCGCATGCGGGCGGCGGCACTGGGGCCGTCGGTGGAGCTCCTTATGGGGCCACGAGGCGCTGTGCTGGGCGGGGGGCCACATGCGGACGATGGCACTGGGGCAGTCGGTGGAGCTCCTTATGGGGCCACGAAGCGCTGCAGTTGGTGCGGGGGCGCAGGTGGGCGTTAGCACAGGGGCCTTCGGTGGAGCTCACTCTGGGGCCACGAGGCGCTGTGCTGGGTGGGGGGCCACATGCGGACGATGGCACTGGGGCAGTCGGTGGAGCTCCTTATGGGGCCACGAAGCGCTGCAGTTGGTGCGGGGGCGCAGGTGGGCGTTAGCACAGGGGCCTTCGGTGGAGCTCACTCTGGGGCCACGAGGCGCTGTGCTGGGTGGGGGGTGGGGGGGGGCGCATGCGGGCGGTATCACTGGGGCCGTCGCTGGAGCTCTCTACGGAGCCACGAAGTGCTGTGTTGGGTGGGGGGGGCGCGTGCGGGCGGTTGCACTGGGGCCGTCAGTGGAGCTCCCTACGGGGCCACGAGGCGCCGCGCTGGGTGGGGCCACCAATCACGCTAAGTTTTGCGTCGGGAGGGATGATCACGCGAACCCGAGCCCGCCATCCACTTACGCAGCCCTTCAGCGCCGCCACGCGGGTCAGCATCGCCCCCAGAACAGCGCCGCCGCGAAACTCGGGCCCGCCCACCCGCGAGGCGCCGACACGAAACTGTCGACGGCCCGAGACCACGCAGCGCGCGAGACGCCAACCGCATCGTAGCGGCCCGAACAAAACCGAAAGGCCACGGGGGCAGCAAAGGCATCAGCAGGGGGGTGGACCTCTGGCGGGGCGACGCCGATGGCGCCCCTTTGCCGCTTCCAGACCGCGCCGCTCAACTGGGGAAAAAAACGGCAGGCAGACGCTGAGTCGACTGCTGCGGCAAACCAAAGAAACCAAGCTGCGCGTCTACATCGGACACGCAACCCTCCCGCCGCCGCGAGGGCCCCCTGGGTTTCGAATCGGCGCACGCGGAATCAAGGCTAAAGGCCCGCGCAGACTGATCCGGCTGAGGCGAGAGAGCAGGCGGGGCAGGCGGGGGCTGCAGCTGGATGCCGGAATTGGGCTCGTCGGCCCAGGGGGCCCTCGTCCACCGACTCGAAGCCCAGAGCGCACTCATCTTCGGCATCGCCGAAACCTGCGCCAGCGTCACTGGGGCAGGCACCGGGCAGAGACGGCGACGGACGCGCGCCCGCGCTGCCGCTCGGCCCTGCGCCCAGGAGCTGGAAATATTCAGGACTTGTGCCGCGCCCACACTGGCGAGCGGCTTGCTGAAGGGATCCTACCTGAACGTTGGCTATACTATTCTTGGACCCCTCAATGGGCTGCTTGCGAGGCTCGGGGGCCGAGGGCAACCGGCCTGGGAGGTTCAGATAGCGAACGAACAGCTGGGCCCCCTGCGCGACAAGCCACTGCGACAAACCGACAAGTGGCATGCATGCTACATCCACTACAGCAGACAGGCTTCGAACGCATGGTTTTGCAGACTCGGAGCATCATGCATGGTCGAGATGCGACGGCCGCTGCTCACCCTTCGACGGTGCACAAGCGCACTCGATATTCGATCGGAGGATTTTCCCCCGAATTCGCTCGAACAATCCTGTCCTAGACAAGTCGCGCGGGGAAAGGTCCCAGCCCGCAATTACAATCCAGGGCGGTTGCAAAGTGGCCAGGAGACTGCCCATCCGAGGGTATCTGGATGAATTCGACGGCGAATGCCCGACGCCCGAATGCCAAAACAAGCTGCACAGAGTCAGAGGAAACCCTTTTCATGCGCAGCTGGCAGGGCAAGAAGCCGTCGAACATCGCTCCTCCATCTGCTCCGAATCCCTTGGCCGCCCTGGCGGGGCCCAGGATCTGGGCCGGCCAGCGGTTCCTCGCGAGTAGTAGCCGCTCGCCTCCGTCGCTGCCCCCCCCCCCTCCCGCGCAGAGTAAGTCACCCTTGACTTGGGCCAAACTCCGCTGGCAAAGAGTTTGAGGCCTCGACCACGGGCCTTACTCGTCCACCTGGGCACGTCACTGGCAAGAACGTGCGATTCCACCACCGCCAGGTAGTCGCGAGACTTGAACCGAGCACGCACACATACTCCCAAGCATTGCCGCCCATGCAGATCACATGCCCGCAAAAACTCGCGTCGTCGATGACGCAGTCTTCGAACCCGAAGATGGCAATGGTAAATTTGAAGTTGCAATACTTGAACTGGTCAAAGTGGAGGCCTCGACCTCCGAGCGCGGATCCCCAAATTCGATACCGAATCGCAAATCCGTATCATCAGGCTGGTGGCCAACGGGCATGTTGACGCCACTGCCGACTCCGCTACCTGTCGTCGCCGTCGTCGAGGCGGCGCCTGGTTTAGCTCCAGCCGAGCTCGCCGCGGCGCCGGCGGTGCCACCCGAGGGGCCTCACCGCGCAGCGCCACCCGACGGGCCACCGCGGTCGGCGGCTTCAGCAGCGGCAAAGTTCGCCGCCGACTGCCTCGCAGCCTCCTTCTTTAGCTGCTCCTCGGTTGGGTATCCAGCATCATCTTGCCCTCGCCCGATGCCAGCAACACCCTGGGTGGCTGGCTTCTGCTCCGGTGGTGGGGCATCAGCCTGGCGGACCCCGCCCTTCTTGACATCCGTCACAGTGGCAGCACATCTCCCTTTCTTGGACATGCATTCGCGCCCTTCCTTCTCGACCAGGGCGACCCCCTCGAGGAAGGCCTTCACCTCGGAGTCTTTCGCCTCGAACTCCGTCTGGTAGCCCTCCAGCTGCGACTTGGAGAGTCCTCAGCTATTTCTTATCCTCTCCGTCGCACTCTCAGTCCTCGAACTGGTTGGGCACCCCGCTGCTGATCTTCAGCTCGAAGGCGGGATTGCCACTCCCGCTTGGCTCCTGCTTATGGCGGTGGCCAGCCCCTCCGCCTGCGCCAGCGCCTGGGCGGCCATCTTCTTCGCCGCCTCGGCGCGCGCCAGCTCGAGGGACGCCGCTCCAACTTTCGTCTCCGCGCTCTGCAGCTGCGACATCAAGCGCAGAACCTGCGCGACGATCTGTTCGTGACGATGCCCCGCCGCCCACCAAGCGCCGTGCACCTGGCGAAATGCTTCCGCCTCGGACTTGGCGCCCCCCTGGGCCGCGCGACCCGCCAGCTTCTGACTCTGGACCTGCAGCGCCTGCTTCATCGCATCGCTGTCGACGGCCTTCACGGCATGATCCAAGAGAATGGCGAGCTGCTGCTTGCCCACCCGTTCCTTGGATGCTGCCCTCCGCGGGCTGCGGTAGCATGCGTGCCACGACTTGTCGTTGGTCTCCGCGTCCGCGCCGTTGAGCTCCATCTCATTGTCGAACGAGACACGTCCATCATCCCCAGCTGGCGATCGCGGCCGGAACAGGCGAACCTTCTTCCCGCAATTGCTGCAAGCACAGCTCCTGTTCAAGAGTTTGTCGTCGCACCCAGGCGCCTTGCAGGGCGCGCACTTGCTTCGCGGTCTCGACGAGACCGCCATCGCTGCGATGCCCCCGCTTTCGTCGACCGCCCGCCTGGTGGGCCGACTTGGCTCGAGAATAAGGACAGGGGAGGAGCAAGGTGGGAGGGGGGAGGCAGGGGGGCGAGGAGGGGTCGGCGGAGAGGTCAGGAGGTCGGGTCGGACTCGGCACTGCAGCAATCAGAGCGCAGTCTTGGTTGCGAGGCCTTCACCCTGAAAGCCCAGCAGGCCACTCCTGTTGAGCCATTTTGGCTCGAGCTGTTGCGGCGCGAACGCGCGAGCTATCGCATCAAAGTTTGTCGCTGGGGCGGTCAGTCTGCAAAGGCCTGTCGCCGGGGCGGTCAATCACCACGCACTGCCACATTTTCTTTGTCGCATTCTGTTTCTTGCTTCTCAGTCTCTCCATCGGAACTTGCTGCGCGACGGCGGCGGCAACGGAGCAAAGGCAGAACGCCCGGCAGCCGGGGGCCCCGGTAGGCAAGGACCTGCAGCGCGATGTCCTCAGCGCCTCTTCAGCCCATTACACGAGATGGATGGTGCGCGCGATCCCTCTCCCCCTCGGCAGGCAGAGCAGCATTCGATCGCAACGCCGAGCACACCGCAGGATGCAGCACGTGGAGCACCAGCACAGCCAAAGCAGCAGCCGCAGCAGGCACCTACACTCCAGGAGATAGCGGCCCTCTTGAAACAAGAAGTCCAACCGCTGGGGAACGCGGCAACCGGCTCGGAGCGCCAGGTGTCCGAGCTCGGAGGGACGATCGAGGCGCGGATGACAGCCTCCGAAGCACGTTTGGAGGATGTGGAGATTCGCCTCGCGAGTCTGGAGAACTCGGAAGGCCCGTGTGCAGGCTCCCGGACAGAGACAGAGGTGTGGGACCAGATCAAGGCTCTGGAGATGGAGGTTGCTATGCTCAAGAGCGCGACCAACCAGAACACGAACTCCAGCGGCCCTACTAACCAGATAGATCATACTGCCGTCTTTGTGTATTTGGTGGTTTCCGTGGCGCCACGAATCAGGACGAGCTCGACAAATGGATTTGGAGGGTTCTGGCAGATGCGAAGGCTACTCCGCCAGTTCAGACTTACATCAAAGGCGAGTTCAATTCGTTCAACGGGGTCGCATTCGGCAAGTACTCATCTGCAGTCGAACGGGACGCTGCGGTAGAGGCCGTCCGCAAGGCCTCGCTAGAATACGGCGGGCAGAAAGTGCGGACCAAACCGGGGCAACCTCTCGAGACAAGGGCGTTGCAGAGCGTCTTGTTCGGAGTCAAGAAGATGCTGATCGACTGGGGCTTCGACAAGAAAAGCCTTTGGGCAGATGCCTCAACCATGAGTTTGTCACGCGGGGGCGACCTCGTAATCAAAATGACCGGGGACAATAAGACGCCTACTATTGAGTATGGCGTGGAGTGGGAGACATACCTCATGCCAGACGGCGCGAACAAGACCGTCACTGACCTGCTCGACGCGGCGAAGGAAAAGCTGCATCGAAGCTCTGCTCCAAGCAAGGGCCTCGGCAAAGGCAAGGGGGAACGGTCCTTTTAGGATCTACCCCGATCGGTCACGAACCCGTCCAATCTAGAACGTCTCCGGCAGCCTCTTTGGATCTTCTGCAACAGTGCAAAGATCAGTTCTCCCACGAGGCTGGCTAATTTACTTGCGGAACTCGATGTGGCGAAATGGAGTATTGTTTGCTTTTGCGAGACAAGGGCCGCAGGAACTGATGATATACTTCATGGAGGCCACCGCCTAACTTCCGGGTTGGGCGAAGCGCGCCATACAGGTGCCGCTATACTTTTGCATGCAGATCTCGCTGGCAAAGTCAGCAGAGTCCGTCTGCAGTCTGGAAGAAGCACTGCAGTTGACATTGATAACCATTTGGGGCACAACTTTCGGATCTTCGCTGTTTACGCCCCTCACCTTGGTTGCGGCCACGCTTGTCTACTTGATCTCTACGCAGAGCTGCGAGATCTTGTGGCTGAAGCCGCACGTTCTGGTAGGAAGGTGCTGATTGGTGGAGACTTCAACACGCAACTCAGGCTAGGCCTACGCAGTGACCTGCTTTGTGGGTTTGCTTCAGAGCACAAGCTAACCATCGCGACAGACGATGAGAATATTCCTTGGGAAGACAAATGGACTTTCGAGAGCACATTGGGAAAGCGACGGCAATTGGATTACATTCTCGTCGACAACACTTTCTGCTTTAGCGCGGCCGAGGCGTCAAACCAGCTTGACCTCGGCTCAGATCACCGGGGCGCTGTGTCATTCATTGATATATTGGGGCCGCTTGCGGAGAGGCCCGCTCGACCAAGACGTGCAAAATGGCGAGGGTCTTCCCAGTATCAGGGGACAGTAGAGACCATGATGGAGGGTTGTCCTGGCTGGTCAGTTCAAGATCTACAGAAAGTTGTGGTTGATGCGGCACGTGCGTCTGGGGCGTTGGAGCCCCCCCAGAAATGCCGGAAGCCATGGCGCAACGATGACCTTCAAGAACTACGGCGCCAACGCCGGCAATGCTCGGACATTGCCGAACGACGCCGGTTGTCCAAGTTGATAGCTAGCGGCACGAGAAAAGCTTTGAGGGAGTGGCAGACACAGAAAATCCGTGCACAATTTGAGCTCTTTTCAGATGCGAAGAAGATCCCGACACTTTCTATGGAGCCTGTGAAGGGCAAAGCTGCGCTGCGACCTGACCCGCAAGCCTTCGCGACCATGCTGCATAACGTTTACTCGTCAGAGGCCGACGCGCCACCTCCCCAAGACACTTCGCAGCTCTTCGCAGCTCTGGCGTATGGGAATTGCAGACAGTTCTCAAATCGATGGCCGGCAACATATGTGCTGATAAACATTGTGTTTTGTTGGAAATGTTTCGCCATGCGGGCCCTCTTGCCCAATCAGTCCTGGTTGCATGTCTGAACGGCGTCGTGCACACGGGTGTCTTCCCCAACGACTGGAAGGAGCTGTTGTATGTGATGATTCCCAAGGCTGGCAACGCTCTGGACCCCCACAACTGGAGACCACTGGCTATCTTGGATATTTCATACAAGATCCTCGCCAGAATCTCGCACGATCGTCCCAAAGCCATCCTGGAGCCCCGCCAGCCGCCAGAGCAGCTGGGATTTCGATCCGCCACTGGGACAGAACACGCGCTCTTAATACTCGAGAACGTTATTCAGACATCAATTGAATTTGATTCGCCGGTACGGATCGTGAGCATCGATTTGACGAAGGCGTTCGACAGAATTGAACACCGTGCACTATTCGCTGCCCTGTCAGAGCAAGGGGTCCCTGTCGAGTACCGCACGCTGCTCCAATGCTTGTACACAGCTCAACGCGGATTTGTGGACAGCTGCCAGTTCGACATAGAACGCGGGGTCAGACAGGGTGACGTGATTAGTCCAATGCTCTTCAACGCTGCGCTGGAAGCGGTCATGTGCCGGTGGCAGGCTCGGCTTGGTAATTGCGGTCTCCTGCTCAGCCCGCAGAGCGATCGTTTGACTAACATCAGATATGCAGACGATCTACTTCTATTTGCTCGGTCGCATGATGATGCAGTGTTCATGATCGATTGCCTCGTGGAGGAACTGAGCAGAGCTCTGGTCTGTCCGTCAACGCGCGGAAGACGAAGATCTTGACAACAGATGCGAACGTTGCAGCAGACGAGGTCCCGCTCTTCCTCGACGCCAGCGGCGGGATGGTTGAGGTTCTCAAGCACGCGGGCACGCACAAGTACCTTGGCCGGCTGCTGAGCGGCGATTTGAGGATGCGAGGTAAGTGCAACCTGGAGCACCGCATGAAGTGCGCTTGGCTTTAGTACCACCAGTTTTCATACACGTTGCAGAACCGCAACATTCCGATCAAATTACGCCTGCGTCTGTTCGGCTCCGTGGTGACGCCGTCTGTCCTCTACAGTCTGACCACAACGCCACTCACTCAAAAAGACCTCGACAAGCTGGACGCGCTCCAGAGGAAAATGTTGAGGCGCATTGTTGGGTGGGTACGTTTGGAGGAGGAAGCATGGCAGCTTACTGGCCATTGCATGAAGCGCCGGCTGGAGGCGGCCTTAGCGCAACAGCCAGTCACAGAATAGAGCATCCGGCGCAACCATCAGAGAGATTTGCTGGTCCAACAAATCGAACACGGATATCTGCCGCAATGGTGTTCTCTGTCGTATGCTTGGCGGCCTAGTCGAGCGCGACATAGAGGCCGACCGCTTCAGAAGTGGACCGACTGAATCTGTGCCTGTCAGCGCGGAGTTCCTCGTGAAGGTCCCCGTGAGCGAGATCTGAGAGTTTTCTTCCATTCTGCCCTTCTCCCTCCGCCCTCTCCTCCCCCGCTCCCCGCTCCTGCCTGCCCGTGAATCAATCCTCGTTAGACGTTCGCACATTTGCCCGGGTGCCGGAGGCACGGGCCAAGTTTTCCCCCCGAGTTCTAGATTGGCACGGCCTTCGGGCCGATCGGGAGTTGCGTTGCCTCCCTAGCGAAGGGAGCCCCGGTCCCGTCGAGGAGGACAGCCCTACCGCTGGGAGAGCCCCTGCAGCCCCCTCAACCCTCGGGGGCTAATCACCCAGGCCAGCGGAGCGGTGGGGTCCTCTTTCCCATCGTACTAGCCCTCCTCCTCCTCCTCCCCCTCCTCCTCATCCTCCTCTTCCTCCTCCTCCTCCTCCTCCTCCTCCTCCTCTTCCTCCTCCTCCTCTTCCTGTTCCTCTTCGTCTTCCTCTTCCTCCTCCTCCTCCTCCTCCTCCTCCTCCTCCTCCTCCTCTGAACTCCTGGCCTTGCACGCGCCCGCCGCCCTGGCAGCGCGAAGGCGGCAGCAGGGGCGTGTTTCCCCCGTGTGCGTCAGGCAATGCGGCCCGCAGACCAGAGGGGGGAACCAGGAGGAGGCAGAGCTGCCTGTCGCTTTTTAGGGCCTCCCCGCGCCGCCTGCTGCTGCCGCTGCTCTCGGGCGTGATCGTCTGTGCTGCTGGTCGAAAAGAAATGAGGCAGAGTATGGACAACCCCACCGCCAGCGAAACAACCCTCTCGCTCGCCCAGCACGAGGCAAGAAAGAAAACACTGGGCTGCAAAGGGTGGAAGGGACCGCGTCATTGACGAGTGTGCGCTGCAACTCCACGACCCGCCGCTCAGCCTCTGGGCCGCCGCGCGCGCTGCAGGCCCGCAACGCCCGGATCCTTCGGTGGCAACTCATGGGAGCCTCCCACACCGTCTTGCCGGCTCCCGCGAATCGACGCTAATCGAGGCTAAATCGACGCTAATCGACGCTAACCGACGCTAAATCGGCGCTGCCTCATCGACTCCAGACGCTACTCGACGAGAATCAACGCTAAAGACGGAAGTAAGAGGATACACCAGGCTCCCATGAATTGCCACCGAATGGATCCTCGGCGAGCAGAGAGACCTAGCCTCAAAATACCGCTGGAGCATAAAGACCTAGCCTCAACAGTCCGCTGGACTCAACCGGCGGTATGGCACGTAATGCAATCAAAAGCCAGGCATACAATAGCGCTGCTGGCGATAGTGTTTCTCGACGTCACCCCACTGCCCGTCCCCCCGCCACCCTCGTCTGCCAATGCACTCCAATAGCTGACTTTGTCGGAAAGCGAAAAGTCATGTGCTCACACTGGGGCATAATAATGCTGAGCGAAGCAAGAGACCGTGAATCATCGCGTCTACAAGCTACCTTCGAACATTTCACGAAGGAGACTCACCTCCAGGTGCGCGACCGCGCATCTCCAAAGAACAAGTTCTGATACAAACGTGTACACTCCTGGTGACGCCTGTCTTCGACGACGCCACCCAGAATCACACGTCGCTCCCCTCGCGCTTTGCGCAGGTCGTTGCGATCTCTGGAACCCCTGGAAAACCATGGGGGGAGAAGTGGGTCCGCCTCCGGACCTGAATTACGATGCTTACGCCGTGTTTTCTTCTGCGAGCCTAGGCAGCCTGCGATTGAAATCGCCCGCTTCCCCACTGAGAGGAAGCGGGCTCCACCAGGCGCGGAAGTCACCACGCCACGCGGCGCGGCGCCTCTGGCCATCGGTCACCCCTCCCTCGGGAGGTCTACGGCTCTGCCGGTGCCCGCGACGTCACCGTCGAGCACCCACCGCAGCAGCCTGCAGGAGGGAGGGAGGGGCCGAGAGGAGCGGAAGCGCTCGAAGGTGTCGGGAGCCTTCGTCGGTTCTCGGCGGTTTTTCCAGCCTCGGGGTGCCTTCCAGCGGCTGCACCTCGCCGAGAGCGTTGATGGGGGACCTGGCTCGTCCCGAACGGCCGCTGGAGGCCCCGGTCACGGCCCGAAGCCCACTGGCTCAGGAGGGACAACATCGAGCTGCAATCGGCGATGCCTCGCCGACAGATCGGCGGCACGGCCGCTGGAGGCCCCGGTCACGGCCCGAAGTCCGCTGGGAGAAGGGGGGACCGGCTCAGGAGGGAAAACATCGAGCTGCAATCGGTGATGCATCGCCGACAGATCGGCGGCATACCCCCCCGTGAGCGACTCCGAAAATTCCTGGGCAGGTTGTGGCTATCGGGCCCCCTATCTGCGATCAATGGGAGACTAGGGGTCGCTAAGAGCAGGGGTCCATGCATCCCCTCCTGATCTGTCCCCCCTTAAACGCCGCCCCTGAAGGAGGGAGGGAGGGGGGGGGACGGGTCTGGGCCTCTGGCGGACCGACCTCCTTTGAGTCCCGTTGGTCTTCCTTCGGTCTCGGCCTCTTGGGGGCCGCTTGTTCGGGCCCCTGGTGAGGGCCGTCGGAGACGGATTGTGGAGCTATGGGCCGAGAGCTTCGGGGACCACGGCCTGTAAAAAAGTCGATCCGTCGGCAGTCTGGGAATGAGGAGGGAAGACCTGGCTCTGGCTCACATCGGGCGTCCTCTTGGGTGGGTCCGGCTCGCCAGCGCACAATGGGGTCGTGGGCTCCCGTCGTGATGTTGCACGCTGTTGGTTTTTACCCCTCAGCCCGTGATGTTGGGTCCTCGTTTTGAAAAGACAGCGCCCCGCATCCTCCCTTCCTCTCCTCTCCTCCTGCCCCTCCTCCCTCCTCCCCATCCCTGCCTCTGCTCTACGCGCGAATTTCAGCACACTCCTCACACGCCTCGTGGCCCCATAGGGAGCTCCACCGAGGGCCCAAATGGCAGCCGAGTGGCGGCACCGCCCCATGTTGGCGCACCCCGTACACGCTTCGTCGCCCCGAGGAGAGCTTCACCGAAGGTCCCAGCGGCAGCGCCCGCACGGCGGCGCCGCCCCATGTTGGCACATTCCACACGCGCTTCGTGGCCCCGTAGGGGGCTCCACCGAAGGCCCCCGTGGCAGCGCCCGCAGGGCGGCGCATCCCCATGTTGACACACCCCTCACACGCTTCGTGGCCCCATAGGGAGCTCCCCCTTCTTCCCAGCTGACATGCGGCATTCGCACCTGCGTATGGCCCGGTCCTGCGCCAGGATAATTGTTCGGAGCGTCGGAGCTCGGTGAGAAGGAGTGAGGAGGAGGACCGAGGATCGAGATTTGTCTCCACCCCTTTCCAGACTTCTGGAGGGCTTCTCTTGGACTTCTGGAGGGCTTCTCTCTGAGGGGAGGAAGGAATTGACGTGCAAAAGGAGAAAGAGCAGCGAACATGAAAGAAGGAGGGGAGAGAGAGGGGGGGGAAGAAGCAGGAGTAGGGGAGTCGGAGAAGGAGGAGGAGGAGGAGCGAGCGTCCCTGGGGGCAAGAGTGAGAAGAAGAAGGAGGAGGAGGAGGAGGAGAAGAAGGAGGAGGAGGAGAAGGAGCGCACGTAGCTTGAATCCGCCGACCCCTTGCGGGTCTCTAGGCGTGTGAGATAGTTCCCCCCAGAATCCCCTTCCCCCCAGGACCCCAAACTGGCAATTTGACCTCCCCCCCCGGCCCGGCACGACCCGGGACAATGCGCGCCAGGGGGAGGAGGGGGGGTCCAAAATGAGCCAGGAAGGCACCAAGACGCCTCCCGGACGGCTCAAGAGGGCCACGAGTCGCCGAAGACGCTGACGAAGGTCTCCAGACAGCCTGCGATGCCCCCTAAACACCCCAAGAGGCCCCAAAATGCGCCCAAAGAGGGCCTCCCCCGACACGAAAGTGGCCCCATTCCCTTCGAAAACGTATAGTTTAAACAAACTCGTCTTCCGGCTATCCGACCGCCCAGAAGGCCCAACGACCGCCCCAACACAGCCCAAGAGCCTCAAAGCGGGCTCCAATACGACCCAGGAGAGCCAGAAGACGGCCCAAGTGGCGCCCAAGACAGCCCGAGAGAGCCCCAAAACGGGCCCAAGAGGGGGCTTAGACGGGGGACGCAAACCCAAAGCTCCAGCGTTCCGCCCCAAGAAGCTGCCAGGATGCCCCCAAAGGCCCCCAAGAGACTCCAATGGCACCCCCAGGAAGCTCCCCGAAAGGCCCCAGGAGTCCCCCAGGAGTCCCCCAGGAGTCCCCCAAAAGAGCCAAAAGAGCCTCCTAGAAGCCCCCAAATTGCGCTCCAGCGGCCTCGAGCCTGCCTCCAGAAAACCCCCGAGAGGCCAACCACAACACCCCGCGTCGCCGTCGTCGCCTTCTTCACCCCCATATCCTACTCCTCCTCTTCCTCCTCCTCCTCCTCCTCCTCCTTCTCATCCTCCGCTTCAGCATCCCCCTTTCCGTTTCGGCAGATGTGCCTCAACTCACCCCACTTGAGGCGTATAACTTCTGGCCCGCAGTCCAATCAAACAAGCCAAAAGAGCTCCCTCGGCGTGCAGCGGGAAGCCGTCTCGGAGCCCACCGGGAGCCGCCGGGGAACGGATCGGGACGAAGCGTGGGCTCTGGAAATACGATAACAGCAACTAGGCAACAGGAACGATGTCGAGCGCCATGCCATGATTCGGACAAGCCTCGTGCAATGTAGTCCTGGAGGCGCAGTAGTTTATAGAGGGGTCGGAGCCTGTAGAATCAACGGTGACTCAGCTACTGCCAGGGCCCTAGCATCGCATCGCGACGACGGCTGCGGCTCGTATGTCGTAATGCTAGATGGGCGTTGCCGCTCTCGGCATGCCTGCTAGGTCAGCTTTCAATGTGTGGTAAATATGAACGCCCAGCACTGCGATCTGATGGAAGCGCTGGAGGGGGCACTCGGATTCATTATCTGGTATTGGGCCAAGCCCCAGACATGTGAAAGGAAAGACAGGGAGGGCGCCACGAGGGACAGCAAGAAGGTGGAGAAGACGAGGACAAACAAAGTAGTGCTGGAAGGAGTCAGGGGCTTGGCACCCAAACAAACACTGACACTCCGCAGCGCTCGGGATGCGTGCGGAAGTGGTCCATCCGCCCGACAGTGCTTTGATGTGTGCCCAAGCCCACGAGGGAGGAGACCGAGCAAGGATGGAACGGCGTTCCTCCTATCTCCGCACGAGCTCCGCCACGGGGATCTGGGTGTCAAGGGGATGCCACGAACAAATCCTTCGGGTAAGGAGGGAGGGGAACGAGTCTGGAAAAAGCGAGGAGGTGAGAGAGTGAGTTCGGATCCGCTGGGGGCGGGGACGTCTCACTTCCTGCCAGGCGCTGCGGAACTCAATTCTTGAAGCACGGGTAGCGGTGTCCCACGCCTGACGGGCCATGCCTGGCGGGGCCCATGACTCCGAGAGCAAGCCCCCAAAGCATTCGCAAATGGATGTCGGGTTATTCCAGCACGCCGGGCTCATGAGCCCACGCGAGAAGCGCGCCAAGCCTCCGTGAGTTTCCGCCTGCTGCCTGGAGCCGAGAGAGCCCCCCGCCAAACTCGCCCACCCGCCGCCCCCAACGTGTGGAACGCGGTTCTCCAAGCAGCGACAGCGCACAGGGTCCGAGGCGGGCGCGGCGTGGCACTCGGGGGCCGGGGGCCGCTCCCCAGGAGCTCCGAGAGGCCTCATGAGTTGGGCGGGAGGCGGAGGAGGCGGTGGAGGGCGTGGCGCTCGGAGCGAAGGAGAGGAGGCGGAGGAGGGAATAGTTGGTGGACGTAGCTAAGTGCCGAGACTGTGCCGAAATTGTAAAACGCGGCAACACGATTCCGCCGAACCACGAGCGATGGCCAGCTCCTTTACTCTGCTGCGCCATGTGCGCTCAGGGGCAGCCCACTGCTCAGCATACGTAGCCTGCGGCCCAAATTTTGCACCGAAGAGGTCGGTCGCGCCCTCGATGGCGAAGACGGTATAGTCAGGAATAAGCGAGGTGATGCGAGAGTTGAACTTTCGCACCGTGGCCTCATCGCGGGCCTCGCCTAATGGCACGACCGCGCACTTTGCAACCGCGCGGGCGGCGGCGAAGAGGGGGGAGGCACATCGATGGGGAGGGCGGCACCCACATCGCCCGCCGTCGCGCCACACCCAGGTTCTAGCCCTGGGTTCCACCTGCATGGGCCAGGGCAGAAAGATGGGGCATCGGGCGATTAGAGCTGCGCGGCCAAGTGCCGAAGAAACGGGTCTATGATCAAGGCCCGCAAGGTGCCCGAGAGGGGGGGCATCCCTGGGCGATTCCCGAAGTCACCAGGAAGAGCGGGAGTCTTTGGGAGCCGCAGCGGGCGTCGGCGAGAACCCCGCATACAAAGCCGAGAAAAATCGGGAAGCCCCCGCTGGGATGCGGTGCCGAGCGAGCACATGATGGAGGAACGTCAAGGACAGGGAGGGGAAAGCAGCAGCGAGGTCAAAGGAAACAAAGAGGGGGAGGAAGGCAGGGCGGAGGAAGAAGGAGGGAGGAGGGAGGAGGGACGGGGACGAGGAAGGAGGAGGGACGGGGACGAGGAGGGAGGAGGGGGAGGAGGAGGAGGGGGGAGGAGGAGGAGAGGAGGAGGAGGAGGAGGAGGAGGAGGAGGAGGAGGAAGGGAGGAGGAGGAGGAGGAGGAGGAGGAGGAGGAGGAGGAGCGCAGCGCCTCACGCGTGTCTCCCGAGCGGCCGCGGGCGCGACCGACGAGCGACAGCGCGGCGCCCTCACGCCGCGGTAGCGCAGAGGGCAAGGCAAAAGAAAATGTGGGGGGAGGACCACTCGTGGCTGAAGCAGCCCAGGGGCAGGTAGACCCACGCGCGGAGGAAGGCCCACAAGCGGATGAAGAACAACCCGCCGAACACGGAGCAGGAGAGCGGCACGGGGAAGCCAGTGACGGGGAGGACGTAGAAGCCCGCCCTTCTCCGCGTGACCCACAACCCCGAAGCATCGCTCAGCCAAAGAGGGGACATCGAGGGATAGCAGGCACCTCGTATCGGAGAAAGATGCTGCCACTCGCTCCGTGGATGGAAGGTCATGGAGCAACCTGCAAGCTGGCACGGAGGGCCCCAACTGACAAGAGCACCATATTCCTCTGTATGGCCATAGCCCCCCCACCATGAAGTCGACGCTGTGCACTGTGTCGCACAGGCCCAAGGGCATGATGAAAAAAACGAAGGCGACCACGCCGCTTGCCAGGACCAGATGTCACCAAACGGCCACTGACTTTGACCCTCATGCCAGTGTGTAGGGTCCTGGTAGCGGCAGTTGTGCCGCGAGCCTGGTCATGGGTTCGGCTCGCGGCCATCGCCCCGCTAGCTTCGCCATGGGCTTGGCTACCTGGGTGCGATTTGTCATCTTGCCTTTGACTTGAAGCACTGGCAGCGCCTCGATCAGTGAGACTGCACGGGCCATCGTGGATCTCATCAACCTCCACACGATGAGCCTCGGAGAACGCATCAGCCGTCACCCCGAATGGCTGTCAGGTGCTTCCAGCAGGGTTGCCGCGCGACCCCTGCTCCGTGACCCGAGCGCCCAGAGGAGCACAGGCAGGCGGCCGTGCGGCAGGCCTGATCGGCAAGACCGCCGACTCAGGCGTGGCTCTCGCTATGTGAACACGCCTGTCAAGTCGGTTGGGCTGGCACTCGTAAAGGGTCCCACCTTGGCGCTTGCATCATGGACGCACGCCCTTTCAGTTTTCACGCCAACCCTGGTCCCGAAAATGCCAGTGAGCAAACCTGAAGCCCTTGTCTCTGTACCAGCTCTCGCATCCTGGATACTTCCGCAGTGTCCTTGCAAACCTCCTTCACGCCGACCGGGAGTACAGAGGGCTGGCTGGCTGCATCACTGGATTATTGTCGCTGGTCTTCGACTGGGCCTCTCTGAGCCCTTCCCCCGACTTCGCGTCCGAGAGCTCCGAGGTAAGCACTTGGGACACCTGGGCAACAGGTGGACTGACAGAGCCGCCATCGTCAAGCCCACCAACCTTGCCAGCTTTATCCGTTGGAGACTTCTCCGGAGCCTTAGGTAAGGGCGTCTCCATCCCTGTGATGTCTGCGGTGTCTGCGCCATGGGCGCACACACTCAGCTAAACCCGCGCCAGAAACAAGCGGCGAGAATCCAACGGAGACCGCATCGCAGGGGACGGAGTATCGGCGCTCATGGAGCGTCGATCCATCTTTGACCTCATGTTCGACCTCTTCCGCTTCCTTGGGCTCACGCGCCCCTTTGACACGCCGTCGACAACGAGGCGTAGACATAAGAGCACCCGACTGGGCAGGAGGTGCGGTTGGTAGAGCGACAGCTCGTGGATGTGGAGCACATGCTGGAGGTAGTTGCACATCGCCTCGGAGGTGCAGCCCAGGTTGATGACCACGCTCAACATCGTGAGGAAAAACCTGGGCACATTGAAGGTCCACCGGTGGAAGCTCCACTTCTGGGGGAAGTTCCGCGACCGGTCGACGATCGCGCTCTCCATCGCGAGGAAGAGCATGTGCACCTGGAAGGCCGTCTGGCGGAAGTCCCGCGACTGGGGGAAGATCCGCCACCAGGTGGATGACCACGCGCACCATCTTGAGGTACACGCACGCCATGGACACCTCGCGAAGACTCCAGCGCCTGGCGCAGGGCGAGGGCGAGGAACGACAGTTCCTGTCCTCGATGCCCCTGCAACTCGGCGAAGGCGCGGAGGAGGTGCGCCGCCGCCCTGCCCTGCGCGCGGGCGTACTGGGCGCGACGCGCCGCTGCAGTGCGCGGGGGGCGGGGGGCGCGTGGCGCAGCCTCGCCGCCCGAGGCCACGGCGGCGGCCGCGGAGGGCGAGGGAGGGGGCGGGGCGAGGGCCCCGTGGCGCGGGCGGCAGAGGGGGGGCCCTACCCGCTGGCGCTGGAGGAGGAGGAGGAGGAGGAGGAGGAGGAGGAGGAGGAGGAGGAGGAGGAGGAGGAGGAGGAGGAGGAGGATGAGGAGGAGGAGGAGGCGGAGGAAGAGAGCAGAGGAGGAGGCAGCGATCCCCAAACGCACCCCCCCCGTTGGATAGCACCGGAAACCTCAAGAAAGTTGCAAACTGGATGGTCTCCTGGATCGCCTCTGTCGGGCCCCTCGTCTGCGCCAGGAATGCGCTGAGGTCCCGCAGCTTGCTGCTGGGCGCCTTCGCCCCGGCCGACTTCAGCAGGACCGGCAGGGCCGACTCCGGTACGGCGGGCACCTTCGTCAGCCGCGCCAGCAGCGCGTCCACGCGCTGCCCTTCCCTGGTCTCCCCCATCGGCTCCGCGACCGTGCGCCTCAAAGGCGGCGCGCCCAGGGGAGAAGGCGGAGGTTCCTCGAGGTTTGAAGTGCGCTGTTGTCGGGCGTTGCCGGGCAGCTGCGCCTCGCCGAGAGCGCTCTGGAGGTGCCCGACTCGTCCCGAATGGCTGCCGGAGAGTCGAGCGCTAGCCCAAAGACCACCACGGCGTCCGAGAGTGGGCGGGCCTTCTCAGGAGGCTCAGAAAGCCTCCGGCCTTCCGAGAAGCTTTCTGGGCCTTCTCCCGACGACGACGGCCAGGACGACGACGACGACGACGACGACGACGACGACGACGACGACGACGACGACGACGACGACGACCGCCAGCCAACGGCGGCTTCTCATTAGGTCGGAGGGCTGCTGAGCAGCCACCCGCCTTCCGAGAAGGCCTGCCCCCCCTCACTTGCCCCCGCGGCGCGCCGCCGCGCCTCAGCAAGCTCCAGGTCCGCAAACTATCCCCGTGGCCTTCTTCCTCATTGCAAGGGCGCCAGCTGTACGGGTGGCACGGATCCTGGCCGGGCCCGTCCTGGGCCAAAGATCGGTGTGCACGCCCTTCTGGCTTGGCTCGAGGGGCACATGCACCAGTCCTGGGCCCAGGATCGGCCCCGCTGCGATCGGTGCAGGTTGACAGTCGGCGCCCTCCGACTTCCTTCTTGACAGCGGAGAGAGCCGCTCGAGGCTTCTTCTCCTGCTCCTCGCGCCGCTGCCGCGCCCTGCCCTCCTGGTCGGCAACTTCAGAGAACACGACGCGGAGCTCGGCGATCCTGGCGATCGGGAAGCGGGCGAGGGACTCGGCCTCCCTCTCGCGGCTGACGACTTTCTGCTCCGAGTCCCGCACGAAGCCCCGGATCAAGTGCACGAACCTGCGTTTTTGAATCAGCCATCGCTGAATGAAACACGAGGAACATGGGGGCGTTGCTGGCCACGGCGAGCCTCGGCCACGGAGAGACTCTGGCCCCGACCTGAATACGAGGAGCGGACCGAAAACGAGAGACCCTCCTGGGATGACCTGGGGGGGTGCTAAGGGGATGGGGGGGACACACGTGGATGCTAAGGCTGGTTCTCTCTTGCAGAAGACAATGAATACATGGGTTACTGGTACCCTAAGTGGCTTGGGTGGGTTCGATAACCCCGCGAAGTGGGCGCAGCCGACTCAACCCAGGTCTTCAGCCACTTAGGGCAACGTTGTCCCACTTATGGCTATGTTAGGTCATGTATGACCCCCGTTATCCCATTAGCCTCCCCCGGTCATCCAAGCCCAGAGCCCACAGCGGTCCTTCCTTCAGCGTCTTGACTGCAAGCGTGGCAGGGGATCCACGTCGACGGGGGCCAGCAGGAGCGCCTCGGCGCGCAATGCCCGTCCGCGACGGAGGTCGATCTGAAGCTGTCGGCGAGGATGCCCCCCCGCTCTCCAGCGCTAATCGTGAAACTCAGGCTGTGCACCCCACGTCGCGCTTTTGCTCGTGGCGCTGCCCCTGTCCGCAGCGTTCAGCGTGGCAGGCAGTTAGTACATGAGCCCATGGGGTGTCGGGCAGGTGCGCCGGAGCACACTGTGGCTCTGCCGCCCGTGACCAGCTGCAGAATCACTCACTGCCAAATGGCCTTGGCGCAGGGGTCATGGGGGTAGATGCGGATACTTCCGCGCACCGAGGTCCACTGTTGTTGTCGGCGTGTCCCCATCCCCCCTCCGTGGGCCCGCGGCCTCCCTCCCGGGGTCGCCATCTCCTCCCAGGTCGTGACGGGAGCGCCCATAGGAGGGTCCAAAAAGACATCAAAGACCCGAAGCCTCGACCGTCGATGCTGGAGTCTCGATGAGGGACCTCGTCCCGGGGCGCGTTCTGGCAAAGACTTCGAATGAACTCCAACCGTAGCGACCATGCAGTTCGCTCCTCCGACGTATCCCAGGAGAAACAAACAACCTCGAAACCCTGAGACGGTCGAGGGATCTGAGGGAACGTGTAGAAGCCGATGTCGTCGGTGCCTCCGCGCGACACCTCCTCCGGCGGGACTCCAGCCGCAAGGGCGGCCTCCTTCGCAGAACGCACGCGCCGTAGCAGCTCGGGCCGGCCTTCCACCGTGTTCAGTCTGAACTCCTGCGAGTCGGAGAACATCCTGGAATGAGAAGAAGCTGCATAAACGTATAAGTCTCCACCGTGGTGGCGTTGGAGCTCATTGTGCTCACAGGGCGGGGTGTGCGTGTGACCACGCAGTGCCCCTCCTGGAAAATACTTGGATGACCGCGGGGGCTGCTACGAGATAGGTAGGTCACATGTGGATGCTAAAGAAGCTTACAGATGGCCTGAAATAGCGCTTAAGTGGGTTAGCAGTGCGCTACGTGGCTGGCCTTAGTGACTAAGTGGGCTGCACCCACTTCGCAGAGTTCTCGAACCCACCCCAGCCACTTAGGACCCTTGCAACCCAGTGGTGCGTTGGCTGACGTCAGACATCACCCCCTGAGCATCCACTTGAGACCCCCCTATCCCCTCCAGCCCCGCCCCAACCATCCCAGTGCTCTCGGAAATCCACGCGGACTTGGTGGGTCGGCACTGAGCCCTCCTCCCCGCCATCCCAGGCGGGGCCTCCCGCGCCGCGGACGGCGCGCTCCGTCGCGGAAGGGGTGTGGGGAGGCGAGTCCGGCGCCGACCCGAGGGATCCGCCGGACCCTGGTCTTGAACAAAAGCGAGAGAAAACAATAGAGAAAAAAAAACGCATGGGTCTGTCGTTTCTTGACCGATGTCCAGATGAGCTCGGCAACGGTGGCAAACTGTCTCGAGAGGCCGCCGCAGTTCCAGAGCTTCGCGGCCCTTACAAGATCCAGAGCTTCGCGACCTGCAGAGCTCGGAGGGCCTTGACCTCTTGCGTGCCAGAGCTTCGCGATCTCGAGCATCTCGTCCTCCAGAAAGTCTGCGCGCCGGTGGAAATCGAAGTTCATGCGGGAGCGGCACCCGTCGCTGAGGAGCACAAAAGACGCGAAGCTCAGCTCTGCTGGCATGTCCTGCAAGAGTTCCTCGAGCAGCTCATCATTTGGGAAAACCTGCAATTTGAAGAGGGCGTCCTTAACAGACGCTCTATTCAGCCGGCGAGTGGAGCTGCTCAGCTCGTCGAAGGACTTGCGAGCGCTCTGGATCTCCTGCTCGCGGATCAACCTCATCAACCTCAAGAACTCGTCGCGGTCCATGGTGCCGTTCAAATTAAAGTCCGCCGATCCCTTGTGAGTCTCCAGGCGTGTGAGATGTTGTCCCCCATGATCCCCCCTTCAGGGACCCCCCAGCTGAACGCATCATGGGGCATAGAGGGCCCCCAAACGAGCCAAGAAGGCCCCAAGAGGCCCCGAAGACGGTCCAAGAGAGCCCCGAATCGCCGAAAAAATATTCCAGTACGCCAAAGATTGCTCGCAAGCGGCCCCAGATGCCCCGAAGATGCTCCAAGAGGCCTGAAGGAAACCTCCCAAGGGAGGCCCAAGAGGCTAAAAGCATCCCATTCCCTTGGGATAACATGCGTTTTCAGCAGATTCACCGATTTGGTTTTCGCAGCATCCAAGATGACCCGAAAAGGCCCAAAAATCGGACCGAGATGACCCACGAGGCCCTCGAGAGGTTCCCACAACGGCTATGAAGCCCCCAAGACGGCTACAGACGGCCGCACAACAATCCCAAGATGGGGCCCACAGGGAGAACCCGAACGGGCATTACCAGCCTTCGGCCTGAAGCAACCCCCAGCAGGCCCCGAGAAACCCCTAAAAAGCATCCCAAAGGCCCCAAGAAGCCCCCAAGAGGCCCCAGAGAAGCTCCCAGAAGGCCCAACAACAGCCCCCAAGGGGCTCCCGAGAAGCCTCCCACGAGACCCCATCAGCCATCCGAGCAGCTTCTCGCCCGCAGCTGGGGCACGGTGGCGGATGGGCCGACGGCCATTCAATGGTTGACGATCTGGGAGCCCGGCCAAGGTTTCCTCCTCCTCCTGTTCCTCCTCCTCCTCCTCCTCCTCTTCCTGCTTCTCCTCCTCCTCCTCCTCCTCCTCCTCGTCCTCCTCGTCCTCCTCCTGCTCCTCCTCATCCTCCTCCTCCTCGTCCTCTTCCTCCTCTGCCTCCTCCTCATCCTCCTCCTGCTCCTCCTGCTTCTCCTGCTCCTACCCCTCCTCCCCCTCCTCCCCCTCCTCCCCCCTTCTCCTCCTCCTCCTCCTCCTCCTCCTCCTCCTCCTCCTCCTCCTCCTCCCCCTCCTTATAAACATGCTTCTCCCACATCGTCACCCTCCTCCTCCTCTTCCTCCTCCCCCTTTTCCTCCTCTTCCTCATCCTTCTCCTCCTCCTCCTCCTCATTGTCATTTTTCTTCTTCTCCTCCTCATCCTCCTCCTGTTCCTGTTCCTCCTCCTCCTCCTGTTCCTGTTCCTCCTCCTCCTCCTCCTCCTCCTCCTCCTCCTCCTCCTCCTCCTCATTCCCAGTAGTACCCTTTTCATGGTCCTCCTCCTCCTCCCCCCTCTCGTTCTCTCCTCTTCGTATCCTGATTCCACTGACCTCGGCATTACACCGCCACTGCCGAGGCGATATCCCAAATGTTAGCCCAAACGGGTATCATTTGCAAGATTTGTATTCCAAAGTTCCGTTTTTCTCGGCGCGCGCGACGTTCCCACCGGCCGCGGAGAACGCCGATTTAGGGAACTTCCCCCCGCACGTGCCCCTGCAGTCATACGCTTGCCAACTGCGCGCCGTGAACCCGATGTCCTTCAAAGCTGCGCAAATCACGTTACTACCCTTACTGAGGTGTTCCGTCTCCCGCGCGGTGCTGATGTGGCGCTGTCGCGGGAAACCCGCGCTGCACGCCGCGCGCATCAATTGTCGCCCCAGCCGCCTCGCCGTATCAGCCACGTCTTTCGCCATGATTCCCCGCTTGTCACAGCTTCCGCACGCCATTCGTTCCCCCCTGCTCCTGTGATGTTCTTCACCCCGCACCCTGGCGCACAACACGTCAGCGGTTTCGCTTCCGCCTCTGCTCTCCTTTTGCGGTTCGCCGTCTCGCAATTCGCTCTCCGCGCCGCCTTCCCTTTCTCCTCCGCGCACCTCCCACGCAGCCGTTCACCACTTCCTTTGGCCAGTTTCTGCGCCTCCGACACCTCAGCCCCGTCTTCGAAATGCGCCACGCACTCCGAGTTCGAACACTGCACGCGGACAACGCTTCGTTCCCACTTCGCCAAGCCCGCGCGCCACTTCTGCTGCGCTTTCTTGCCCGTGCACTGTCGACAAGACCTCGTCCGGGCGAGTTCCCGCTCCTCCACCCCCTCAGCTCCCTCGCCGCACCGCCCGGCGACGCGCCCGAATCCCGCGTCGCATCCGTCGCCCACGTTCTACGCGACGCACACCATTTCTCGTCCGCGACCTTCGTCTCCGCAACGCTGTCCTTACTGAATGATGGCCTTTCCGTTCTCTGGAACTCGCACTTCGCGAGGGCATCCTCTGACAGCCTCCGTTTGCACCGCCCGCGCTCGTCTCGCGGCATCGCTTCCCACCCCGCCCGGCCCACGCGCTCTTCACGAGGAACCTACGGCAGCTTCCCCACGCAAACACACTCGCATTCATTAACTGTGTGCGCTCCGAGCAGAAAGCCGGCAGACCTTGGGTATCTCCCGCCTTCGCACCCGCGCGATAGCAACGCAACTTGACAGCCAACTAACCGCCGCGCCGTCTTTCAAGATCCGCGCCGACTGCGCGCGGCGCGAGCCGCCACTGCTAACGACGGCGCGCGCCCCAGCTGTCGCTGCTTCCGCGACCGATTCAAGTGATCCCCCCAGGGCAACGGGCATGCCCGTTGCCAGTGGGAGCCAGCCTGGCAAGCTTGCGCACTCGCGATCGCGGCACCCCAGCCGCCGCATTTTGTCCTCCTCCGTGCGCGGCCGTTCTTTTTTCCCACCCGTAGCACGGGCGATCTCTCGCTACGACCCATAGCAGCTGCTCTCCTCACCCGTCCGCCCACTGAGCTGCTCTTTGCTCCCCGACGTGGCCTGCAAAAACCGCAGCGGCCCCCGCGACTTTGACTCCCTGAAATCGCACGCCCCCCCTCGGCGACGCTGCAACGGAATTCCCCCTCCACCCTCAGCTTTGCGCGCCTCGCGCTCAATGCCGCCATTTCTGGCAATGGCACACGCGTTCTCACGCCAACGAACGCCGCCGCACAACGACTGTCCGTTCACCCACGACCCCGGCACGCCCGTCGCGCGAGTTCTGATAGCACACCTCGCCAGAACTCATGTAGCACTCCGAGAAACCAGTCGTCTTGGTCCTCCGCGCGCATACACTCCGTCAACTCCGCCATCCCCTGCACTCCCCTTGCGCATCCGGCCCCCAAGAAAATCCGGCGCCCTAATTAAGGCTCGGATCCGCCTGGGCGCCCTACTTAGTGCCCGGGACCGCCCGGGCGCCCTAATTAAAGCCTGGGAGCGCTTGGCCGCCCTAATTAGGGTCCGGGACCGCCTGGGCGCCCAAATTAAGGCCAGGGACCGCCTGGGCGCCCTGACGACCCGGGCGCTCTAATAAAAAACCGGGGCTGCCTGGGCGCTCTGAGTAGGGCCCAGGGCCAGAGGCTTTGAGGACCGCCACACTGGCCTCCAAGGCGGTGGCCCAATATGAACGCACTGATTCGTTCAAGGCGTCGGCGGATGTGGCGCAAGCCTACAGAATCGACCCTGCTGATCATAGAGTTCGCCTCGTCGACGCTGGTGTGAATCCCGAGGTACAGGAAAAGGTCGAGGACCTGTGAGGGGCAACGTTAGAAGGGGGCCCGCTCAGGAAGGGTGGGGGGGAGGGGGGAACATCGAGCGCCGATAGATCGGAGATAGGCCCCCGATAGCGAATCCGCATGCCCCCCCTGAGCCTATCCCCGTCCCCGGTGGTTTTCGGGCCCAAACTCGGGCCCCCCGCGGCCGTTCGGGGCGATCTGGGCAGCCACGGAGCGCTCTGTCCCGAGGTTGGAAAACCGCCGAAGTCCGACGAGAAGGCTCGAAGATCTCGAACCTCGAGCTTCACGTTGCCCCTGAGCCTGGAGGCGATTCAGCTCGCCAGTCCCGTCCCGGTCGATCCTCTCGAATGCGGCACCGAGCTCCCGCCGCTCGCGGCGCGAGAAGCCGTGCGTCCTCCGTGCCGCGCCTATGAACTGGACCAGCGAGTGGAAGTCCAGGGGAGCGTCGCTCTGCAAGCCTGGAGATAACACGTCATGAGGAAAGTCCTGGAGGCCTCGCGCGGCAACTTGAGACCGAAATTACGTCGGATCCACATCGGACTACGTCGGATTCACATCGGATGACGTTGGAGTAACGTCGGATTCGCGTCGGACGTACGGCGGGACATCGCCGCGCGAACGTCGTCCCATATCTCACGGGGAGGACGTGCGGACTGGAAAATCCAACTTTTGCGCGCCGCGCGAGGCCTCCAAAATTTCCTCATGGACGACGTCATGACCATCAACTTTCGACGGTCCGCGCAGGTTTCTCAGATCGGCAGTGGCGGCGCCTGAGGCGCCACCAGGGGGGCCCAGCGCAGATACGCGCGGAGCTCTGAAAGTTGATGCCTGTGCCGCCATTGTTCTTCGAGAGCCAAGGTCTGCGAGAAGCTCATCCACGGCGTTTGTCAGCAGAGAAATGCCGACCCTCTCCGCGATGCTGACGGCGGCGCCCACCTGGACAAAGACCGCGCCGCCCTCCACAAAGGACGCAAAATGCTGCCACAAATCCTGCATCATAGGGTCGCGCAGCCGGCGCGCCCAGATTAGGAACTCGTAGAAGCCGACGCCCTGCTTCCCTACCGGTAACCTCGCCAGGCTGCTTAGATGTCCCCAGAAAGGGACCTTCCTTCCCCAACTGATGAAATAATTGGGTCCGGCGAAATTTCGCCACGTTGCCGCCGGTGGCCGCCTTGTGGCCACGTCGTGCATTGGGTGGGGCCGGCGAGGTTTCTCAACGTTGCCGCCCGTGGCCGCCTCGAGGGGGGCTCGTGCGTAGACCGCATTGTTCACACCACATACATTGCACCACGTAGCTCACACCCTATAGCTAATACCACATATATTCTCCTTTTCTACAATAGTATTAGGACCTACCCCCCCAGGCTTGCCGATTGTGCCAATTTCGTCGATCCTAAATATGACCTCGTACCACCATCCCAGGCAGGCCGGCATCCCCCTCAATCTCTGCAGCAAAAACTACGCGCGCACACTCGTTTACCAAAAATCATCCGTTGCTTTGAAAAAAAACATTGCGAAACAGAAAGACGAAGTGCACACGCGCGCGTCGCCGCGCGCATGTCGTCATTCCTTATATAAAAAACCTCTGGTGTTGTAAAGATTTGAAAATCGTGCGTCGCTCAAACAATTGGTTTCTATGGCTTCGCAACACGGTTTTCAAATTGAAAAAACCCCGCTCGAACTCTTGCAGATTCGACGAAAAAAAAACAAAAACAAAAAAACACACATAAAACAAAACATCGGACGGCCAACCTTTTTTTCGACAGAAAACCTACCAGACGGGTCTCTCGCGCGCGCATGTCGAGAAAGTTCGCGCGCTTTTGCGCGCATGCTGTCGCAAAAACCCGCTGCAAACACGGGGACGAAGTGCACACGCGCGCGTCGTCGCGCGCGCATGCCGAAATCGTTGTCGTAAGGGTTCCAAAAACGAGTGTCCCGAAAACAACTAAAACACACGGTTGTGCAGCGTCAGTTTCATTTATATATAACACAAAAACTGCCCGTGTTTGCCAGTTCGTGCGAAAACCATACGCGTTTCAACATTGTCGTCAAATTCGGCCAAACGGGCTCGAACTCATGCGAACGCCCTTGCGCGCGCGCTGGTGGGGGCACGTTCCGTGTCAAATTATACCACGCGAGCCACTCGCGCGCGTCGGCCGCGCGCGCGCATATCGAACTCTATCCAACACTTGCATCACCGGCGCGAGGACATTGCTATCGTTATTGATGGGCGTGATCAACATCGGCGACGTCATTGTCCTTGCCATCCTCATCGCCACCATCGTCACCATCATCGCTACTCACACCTTCGTGTCTACCGTTGTCGGCGTCGCCATGATACCGCGCCCGCCCAAGTCACCGACTCGCACTGAGGTGCCCGCTGGAAAGCGCCCAGCAGTCAGCACCACCGCGGCCGCGTCGGTCGCGCCGCACTAGATAACCGCTGCGCGCGCGAGCAAGAATGCACCAGAAAACGCCAAGCACTCATCGAACTCGCCGTCGCAATGGGTTTTGCAAACCGAGTTGCGGGTGGGTGGATGGGATGACTGCGCGAGCAAAAGGGTTGATAACTCACTGCGAGCACTGGCGGATTGTAACAAATAGGTAAGATCACATAATTCACAAATCATATATTATACCACATAGCTCACACCTTACCGTTTGTACGGCACGTGTTGTACCAGTAATACTACACAACAGCACTTGGACATCATAGACCGCGCCACATGGATTGCACCACATACACTGCACACTATAGCTAATAACCCAAACCACTTCCCTTGAAAAGAAGAATCAACTCTATCAGCCTGTTCGCCCCCGGCTTTAGAGCCCGTGCAGAGACATCTGAAGATTACATACGCTTCGACCTCGCAGCTCCCCCTTATGATGTTTCAATGGCATGCGAGCCAGGCACCATCACTACCCTTCACCCCAATGAAATGACACCCTGCGCGCACACACGCACACACACACACACACTCGCCTATCGCAAAGGATCCTTTGCAACAAATGACAAACGTCCACACGCACGCACATGTCGAAATCAGACCAAGAACACCACCAATGTTGCAAGCAAGTAAACACACAAGCAGCAAAACCTTCGGCTTACCATCGCAAATATTGTAAAGTGCCTGCCCGCGCGCACGTGCTGTAATGATAAGGAAAAAACGCTGGGTGTCAACACTATCGCCAAGAACCCGCATGCTCTTGTCACTACAAAATGTATCCGTGTTGACCCTGCATGCGCCCAGCGTGCGAACCCGCATCACAAATTACCATGCGGGCCAAACCCGCCAACCGCCACGCGAGCGTCAAAAAAAACCTACAAACCATGGGTTTCCAGAGACTGTCACAATAAGGTTCTTCAGATACGTCGGAAACAACTGCTGTTAAACCAACAATTTGCCACGGGTCTTGGGACTACACGCGCGCGCACTTCCGCACCGTCACCCGCATCATCGCCGCCGCACCACGTCATGGTCATCGAGAGTCGCCGCAATTGCCGCCATCATCGCTCAAGCACCTTCATCATCGACACATGGGCATCACAAGCATGCTCCGCATCATCACCATCATCACCATCATCGGCGTTACAAGCATAGGCGCAGTCATTGGCCTTGCCGTCGTCGTCGTCATCCTCGCCACCACCAACGCTACTATCATCATCGTTGCCACCTGTGTCGACGTCATCACGATGCCGCGCCCGCCCGAGCCACCGACCCGCATTGAAGTGCAGCGCGCCAGCACGGCCTTTGACACGCGCTGGGACATTGCCATCGGTCAGCGCCATCGCGGCCGCATCGATTGCACCAAAACAACTGGCCGCTCTACGCGTGAGCTTGTGAGCGCCAGCGCGACCGCAGAGATGCGCCAGACATGGCCAAGCAGTCGTCGCAATCGCCGCCGCATGAGTTCTGCAAACCAAGTTGTGGGTGGGAGGGTGGGATGACTGCGAGGGCAGTGGAGTTGACAACTCAGGAGTTGGCAAAAATGAATCGCACCAAATAGGTTGCACCACATGGCTTACACTGCATAGGTCACAGCGCATAATAATCGCACCTGCAACATTGCGCCGCATAGCTTACACCACATAGCGCACAGCGCATAGGTCACACCGTATAGATCCCACTACATCTATTATACATCCAAAGTGCAGCATCTCCATGTTTGGGGTCCACGCTGGCAAGAATATTCAAACACGTGGCTTTGACACGTGGCGGAACTGTGACAGAATTGAACGGTAAGTTTGACGGACAGCCCCACATCTCTAACAGGCAAGTGCGACTCTAACCGAAAGGATGCTCGCTCTACGCGAGAGCATTCACAACAGCCACTTCTTTTGGTGTGAAGGCGGGGGAGCCCAGGGAGGGACCAAAAGCACTCCCCTTCTAAGAGTCATCCAGACTTGAATGCACATTTGGACGGAGACCTCTGCCCCGCGCAGTCAGAGGGCAGCATGTCCGCGAACAGCTCCCTGACATAGTCCACGCTGTAGAGGCCGGTGAACTGGAGCAGGCCCTTCAGAAACGAGGACACCTTGACCAGGGGGCCCCAGCCGCTCGAGGAGACGAGCGGCTCTTGCTCCAGCTCCCCGAAGATCTCGTGGGCGGCCAGGATCTCCTCCCTGGTGAAGCCTTCGTTCACCCTGCACGCGGCCAGGGTCAGCAGCAGGTCGTCGCCACACATGTGCTCCGGGCTGGCGTGGTCCAGCCCCGCTGCTCTCCTCGCACTCTCCACGTGGCTGTACGAGAAGCACACGCCAGCGGAGCGCAGAAACTGCTGCACCCGCTCGAGCGCCGCCGCGCCTGGGCGGTCCGCCAGGCACGCGTCCGCGCGGTGGCGGACGGCGGCGCGGTCGAGGGCGGCGAACCTGTTCACGTACTCGCAGAAGTCTATGTAGTCGAAGTTCTGATTCGAGAGCTCCCTGGCGAGCTCCAGCGCGTGCTCCCGCGTGCTGGTCAGAAAACCCATGTGTATGAGGGCGTCGTGCAGGCGTTCGTGCGTCATCTCGTTGGCCCCCTCGGTCGCGAAGCGCTTGAACGCCAAGCGCATGAACCTGTCGTGCACCTCTGGCTCCTGGTCCGCGTAGCCGTGGTAGATCTCGAACAGGGTGGCCGCGAGAGGCACCTGCACCTCGAGGTTGTCGGGCACCGCAGTGTCGAGGCTCTCGCGCGACGTCGGGCCAGGCGCGCACTCCTCCGCGGGCTCATCCTGCGCCTCGCTCGTCCGCGCCTGCACCTTGGAGGTGAGCACGGAGGCGCGGAGCCGCGGGGGAGTCATGAAGCCCGAAATGGCCTGCGCGGGGCACTCGCAACACTCCAGGTCGAGGCCTGGGCGCAGCAGCTGCTCGCCCGCCCACGGCGACGGCGCGGTGGCAGGCCGGCCGCCCTGCAGCTGGCCGCCGCGGTCCAGCCGCGCGGCCTGCAGGGCACTGCCCGCTGGCTGGGCACCGTGGCTGTAACGCCGGCAGGCGTCGGAGAGGCTCCTCAGGGACGGCGACGCGGGGCAGCTCTCGTTTGTGGACCTCCTCACTTCGTGCGCGGACCTCCTTCGCACACGAGGAGGCTCCGGCTGCAGCGCCGTGGGCGCGAGCAGGTCGTCCGTGGATCTCCTTCTGCCAGAAGGCTCCAGCTGCAGCGCCGGCGGCGCGAGCAGGTCGTTCGTGGACCGCCTTCTGCCGCGAGGCTCCAGCTGCAGCGCCCCAGCGGAAGAGGCCCTGGCCCCCTTCGGCGAGAGCTCCGTGGGCGTGCCAGGGCGGCTGCCCAGAGGACCCATGGCTGAAACCTCTCCGCCTCGGCCGACTTGGAACTGAGGCAGGCTCTTGCCTGGGGGGAGAGAGATACCGAGACCGATACCGAGACGTACCCGGACCTCACCGGGGGTGCGACCTCACCAGGATCCCGATACAAACCCAGCCGTGGCCACGAGGGCCCACGAGCCCAGGGAAGGAGAAAACGAGAGGAAGGATGTAGAACGGGTATCGGCACGTCTTTCTCTCCTGATCGCCTGGCGCCCACAGCGGCTTCCGCGGACCCAGTCGGCACGAGCCGTCTCCGGAAGAGCCGCGCCGCGTGAAGTTCGGACTGGACGGAGCCCCGGCGAGGGCGGGGCAAAACGGCAGCGCGCTCAGCCCGCCAGTGGCATCCCTGGAGATGCGCCGCTTGAAGACAGGAGTGGACAGAGCCCCGTCGGCGGCAGGGCCCAGCGCGCTCGGCGAGGGCTTACGGGACTGCGGCCTCATCGCCGCAGCCCCGGCACCCCGAGGTCGACCGCGCGGGCATGGTCCTGAGCCCTACACCCGCAGTGGCTGGCTGTGCACGAGGAAACTCGAGGTTCGCAAGCTTCTGTGTGCTGCGTGCTGTTGCCCCAGCTCTCTTTGAGATTCTGGGAGCCCCTGGAGGGTCTCCAAGGACCTTCCCGAATCTCTGGCGACACCATTTTTCCGATTTCGTCCTCTGGGGTGGGGCCCGTTATCGGGCCACGGGGTCCTGGGGCAACCAAACGTGGATCCGTTAACTACCCCCGGGGAAGAGATCGGGAGCTCTGGGGCCGCGGATCGATGAAGGTCAGACCGGAAGACGTCAGGAATCCTGGGTGGCCTCCACAGGCCCGCAGGGCGGCCGGGCGTGCAGCGCCGCCAGGGGCTGCGCCGTGCTGCGCAGGGAGAACTTGAGACCGCACGGGCTGCCTTGCAGGCCCGTCGTCCAGGGGCTGTCAGTGCAACCCTGGGCCACTCAGAAAGCGAAACGAGGACCGGCAACAAGGACGGACAGGGATAAATCTGGGATCTCCGAAATACGGGGGTTCTGGAGGGTGTATCATGCGCCGCCGGATGCTGCGCCGCGCTGCGCCGGGGAATTCGAGACTGCTTGGGCTACCTTGCAGGCCCGTCGTCCAGGGGCATGTTTCATCGATCCGTTCGTCGCTGCAGAATTTCGGTACGAATTCGGCACTCTTCAGGTGGACCAGCGGTGTGTTTGAGAAAAAACTGATTGTTCGACCTCTGCTGCAGTTGCTTTGAGATTGCGATAATGCCTTGGTTGGGTCTTTCCAGGGTTGACGTGCATCCGCCAAGCATGTAGCTGGTAGTGGCAGTGTCAAAAAGTGAACACGAGCCCCACAGAATACGACACATTCTGAAAGGAAGAGACAGGGGTGGGCGGGTTCGCGGAGACCACAGAGGAGGATGGGAAGAAGAATTCGCCGGCCCAACGGGCCAGAGGCGTGCTAAGATCTCCGGTAACTGGTTAACAATTGTATTGTACTAGTTCGCGCGCGCGGGGCGGCCCCTGGGGGTCCCCCGGCGAAAAGTACCCCGCCCGCCGCCTGGCAAGGTCCCGCCCGGTTCAACTCAGAGATGGTTTTCCTTCTGGGTGCGGCCTCTCAGGCCGCCCTGAGCGCGCCAAGAGTGCCCCAAGAGGCCCCCAAGACTGCCCAAGAGGCCCCCGAGACGCCCAAAGAGCGCTCGAAGACGCCGAAGATGACCCCAAGACGGCCCAAAAGGCCCCCAAGACAGCCCAAGAGGCCTCCAAGACGCCCCAAGAGCCTTCCAAGAGGCCTCCGAAGAGAGCCCCAAGAGGCCAAAATCGTTGATTTTCATTGTTTTTTTCGATGTTTTTTGTGTTCTGGCTTTTTCGGCTTCCGGACGCTCCAAGACGGCCCAAGAGGCCCCCAAGACCGCTCCAAGACGGCCCACGAGGCTCCCAAGACGGCCCCGGAACGGCCCAGGAGGGCCCCCAAGACGGCCCAAGTGCCGCCCAAGACGGACCAAGAGGCCCCAAGACGGGCCCAAGAGGGGCTCAAGAGGGGAACCGAGAACTGAAAAATCGAGCCCTCCGCCCCAGAAGGCGCCCAGGAGGCCCCAAAAAGGCCCCAAGAGGCCCCCAAGAGGCCCCCAAGACGCCCCAAGAGGCGCCCAAGAGGCCCAAAAGAGGCCCCAAGAGGCCCCAAAACGGCCCCCAAAACTCGGCTAGCCCACAACGGTGCGACAATATGGGCCGGCGGAATGAGCGAAGCGATTAAATAAGAATGTGAGCCTGAACAAAACAGGATGACCCCCTGAACCACCCTTGCATTATCCCTCGGCTAGCCCACAACGGTGCGACAATATGGGCCGGCGGAATGAGCGAAGCGATTAAATAAGAATGTGAGCCTGAACAAAACAGGATGACCCCCTGAACCACCCTTGCATTATCCCTCCTCCTCACCAACACCATAACCATCAGAATCAGCATCATCATCAGCAGCATCATCATCAGCATCATCACCATCATCTTCAATCTCCGCCGCATAATCATCATCATCATCATCATCATCATCATCATCAGCAGCAGCAGCAGCATCATCATCCTCATCATCCGCATCATCATCATCATCCTCATCATCATCAGCATCCTCATCATCAGCATCATCATCCGCATCATCCTCATCGTCGTCATCAGCATCATCAGCATCATCATCCTCGTCATCGCCATCGTCATCGTCATCGTCATCGTCTTCTTCATCATCATCATCCGCACCACTATCGTCATCGTCGTCATCATCGTCATCAGCATCATCATCACCATCACCATCACCATCATCATCATCATCATCATCATCATCATCATCATCATCATCATCATCATCATCATCATCATCATCGTCATCGTCATCGTCAACATCATCGTCATCATCATAATCATCATTACCAGCATCACCACCATCATCGTCATCAGCATGGTCATCATCATCATCATCATCATCAGCAGCAGCATCATCATTATGATCAGCATCATCAGCATCATCATTTTCCTCATCCTCACCAGCATCATCCTCATCGTCGTCATCAGCAGCATCAGCATCATCAGCATCATCAGTACCATCACCATCGTCATCGTCATCGTCATCATTATTATCATCATCTGCACCACCATCGTCATCGTCATCATCATCATCATCGTCATCAGCATCATCATAATTACCATCACCATCATCATACGCATCATCATCAGCATCATCATCGTGATCATCCTCGTCAACGTCAACATCATCGTCGTCATCATAATCATCGTTACCAGCATCATCATAATGATTATCGCCATCGTCATCATCATCATCAGCATCATCATCATCATTATGATAGTCATCATGAGCAGCATCATCACTGGCGTCGTCATCATTATAACCACCACCATCATCATCATCAGCAGCATCAGCATCATCAATATTATCCCGACCATCATAAACATCATCGTCTTCCTCATCACCATCATCTTCATCAGCATCATCATCACCACCATCATCAGCATCATCCTCATCAGCATCATCATCACCATCATGACCATCCTCATCCTCCTCCTCATCATCATCATTACCGACACCACCACCATCCCAGCATCGCCATCATCACTACCACCACTATCATTCATCATCATCATCATCATCATCATCATCATCATCATCATCATCATCATCATCACCATCACCATCACCATCACCATCACCAGCATCGCCATCCTCACCATCATTATCCATCCTCAACCTCCTTCTCTTCCTCCTCCTCCTCCTCCTTCTCCTCCTCCTCCCCCCCCTTCTCTTCTTCCCCCCCTCCTCCTCCTCGTCGAGGAAGCGGACAAAGCCCAGGCATTCTCCAAAGTGCCCGCGGTGACACCTCATCCTCCTTGTTCCCACTCCTCCCCCTCCTTCCCTCGTGCGCCCACGACAACAGGGGGTCTCCGAACGGACCGACCCCAGTTGCAACCAGCCAGTGGCAAACAAAATCAGCGCACGTGCTCAAGAAGATTTTCAGAAAGAGAAAGAGAAACAGAGAGAGAGAGAGAGAGAGAACAACAAAAAACATATAGAGAGAGAGAGAGAGAGAAAAAAAAAAAAGAGAAACAAAAAAAGGAAAAAGAGAGAGAGAGAGAGAGGGCGAGCAAGGGAGACAGGGGAAAAAGGACAATGGCTCAATACAACTCCTGCTACTGACCATGGCCGTGCCACTGGCGCAGGAGGGGAAGGGATGGGATACCCAAAACGTAGCACCATCTGTACCATCCACACCCCCATATCCTCTGGACACCCCTTAATCCACGAGCAAAGAGGTTCCCGTCCCACTCGCCACAAAGCTTCGCTGTGGGAGCTTCTGCACCGAGCTACCCAGTATCAGCTGGGATATGTTAGTTCGGGAACTGCTATGAAAATATCCAGACACCTCGTCAGACCACCTGTCAAAACCCTCGAAAGGTGATGAAAGCCTGCGAGAGAGAGAGAGAGAGAGCGCGTTTCGCGGGCGCTTGCCTTGGGATCATTCGGCGACGCGTTTCGAAACGGGGGCGCCGCCCCCCCAACACTCGGTGCCGTCGATCAAAACCAGGGGGACCCCCCCGTAAACCCCCCTTCCCAACCCCCCCCGGCCCAAGGGGGGGGGGTCAAACACCCTCCCCCTGGTGCCGGCGCCGGCGCTGGCGGCGGCCAGCAGCGCCGATGACCAGAGAGGGCCCAGGGGAGGCAGGGGGGGGGGTCGAAACCCCCACCCCCCCTGGCGCCAGCGCCAGCGCTGGCGCTGGCGGCGGCCAGCAGCGCCGACGGCGGGAACGCAGCGACGATGACCAGAGACATTCTTTTGATGTCAAGATGGTATATAATCTGTAATACACGACCACCACCACCACAAACCACCACACCACCACCACTTCCGCCACCGCAACCCCCACCACCACAACATCACAACCCACCACCACAACAACCCACCACAACCACAACCACCACCATCACCACAAACCACTACACCACCACCACCACAAAAAAAAACGCCACCACCACCACCATTACCAGCAGCACAACCCAGCACAACCACCACGACAACCACCACCACCACGAGCCACCACACAACCACCACCATCACCACCTAGGCCACCACCACAACCACCACCACAACCCACCAACACCACAAAAACAAAGCACAACACCACCACAACCACAACCACCACCCAACTCACACAAACACCACCAGAACAAACACCAGCAGCAGCACCAACGCCACCAACACCACAACCCACCACCACCACCACCACCACGACCACCACCTCAGGCCACCACGCCACCACCGCCACCACCGCCACCACCACAACCACCACCACCACAACCCACCTCCACCACCACCACCACCACAAACCACAACACAACCACACCCACCACCAAACCACCACAGCCACCACCATCACCACTTCAACAACCCACCACCACCAGCACCAAAACAACCCACCACCACCACACCCACAACAACCCACCACCACTACCAGTACCACC